TGTATGTATGTGTTTGTATAAGTATATATGTATATATGTGTCCTAATGTTTTCATATTGACTTACCTTTGAGTTAATCTCAGCATATTCTCAATATTTGCAAATTCTCTCAAACTGTTTGTGACATAGACTCAGATTTAACAACCAAGTAAAGTATATGTCAGGAAGCCGTAAGTTGCTCAATATGAAATCAAAGAAAGCCAAAGATACCTCATTTTAATTTTATTTTTTTTCCAAATGGCCAGCCTGTCTTTGGTACTTATTATTGACTCTTTATTCAGCATTAGAATTCTTGTCAGCAAAGTAGCTGAGAATATCCAGACTCAAAAAAAAGTTCTTCAGATATGATATTTCTTTTTATAACATGAAAAGAATCAATAAGAGTCAGCTCTTTAGGATTAGAAGATTCACCAAATACTGGAGGGATTTAAAGGAGAGATTTTGTTCCATTCTGCCTGCCAGAAGGTCAGATTCCATCTGATGCCACGTTTTTGTTTTTATTGTTGTGGTTATATTAAAGCTTTCACGTAGTTGTAACTCAGAAGTGGAATTCCAAACAGCAAAGAGAAAAAAAAAGAAGTTTCACAAGAGTTCTAAAGGCGCCTATGAGGAAAGATTTCTCAAAAAATAAATAAATAAAAAGTAAAACTAGGGCAAAAGAGTCTTAGAAGTTTGGCTTTTGAGTTAAAAACACCACAGGGTGGGGAGAAACATTTTGTCAATCTTGATCTAAATTTAACAGGCAATATGCAGCTGGTAAAGAATTTTGTTGAGTACCTTGGGTGATGAGGCTTCTCTTGACTACACATGAGTTTGCATATCTCTAATTATATTCCAGAAACTCCATACCTGAATTGGAACAAATATCTATTGTTATCAGTGATAGTTCAGTAACCAAACCTTAAGAAAGGATTTTTTTTAAGATTTATTTATTTATGCATACAAGAGCTGGGGTACAGGCCAGAGATGGGGGAGCGAGTAAGAGGATTCACCAGAGACAGAGGGGGGAGCAGAACAGGCAGACTGACCGAAATACACTGCTGAGGGGAGCAGCAGGCGAGACAGGAGAGGTCTGCTGCACCATGTGGGTTTCTCTCTGGCCGACCGGAGATCTAACTCATGCTGCAGAGGCTGTGGATTGCTTCATAGTGCGGTGCTTAACCCCTTGCACCACCAGGGATGCCCCAAGAAAGAATTTATCTACAACATAAGAAGTAAAATACAGTTTTTAATTTGTTTAAATGTGTAAAGGTCAACTAATGAATAATCAGATAATTTCCTTGTTACAGGGATTTATTTAATATTCTATAGACCTTTTAGAAATTATACTTATTTGATATAAAGAGATTTTAATAACACTTCTTAAATTTGATGCTGTATGAAAGTATATTTCTATAACAGCCATATGGTTTGACTGTCCCTGGGGAAATAGTTTTCTCTCTAATTCCTTTATGAATTGCTACGGTTTAGTGATAGTGAAATAATATTATAGTTCTCAGCACACTCAGCAAAAGTCAAGATGTCCTATTGACTCAAACAATAATTTAGTGGTATCTAGATTTATCTTTTGTCAGGGTCAACCTTGTTCTACACTGCAGTAATGTTCTGAGATTTCCCTATAATGATACCAAAATGTACCACAGAGTTATTCTGTTTCATTTTCCTCAAAGCTCAATTTTTAAATTGAAATTTCTGCCTTTCTCTAAATAACTGCTACCTGCTATACAGCATGGGGACTGAGATCATGGGTTCCAGAGCCTCACTGCCTGAATTCCACCATAACCCTGTCAATACCTAACTAGGTGACCATGGGCAAATCACTTAATCTCCTTCAGTCTTAGTTTCCTCATAAGTAAACTTGGAATATTCATACAAGCCATTTCCTAGCATTGTTATCAGGATGAAATTAGTATTTAAAACCAGAGTTGCTACTCAGTGAACAAGGCAGCACTATTCACCTTGATCTTTAAGCCTAAAATCCTAGGATACTTTTAAGTCATCCCCTTATATGGTCATAATCAAGTACTAGTAGTCCTTTTCTTTTTGAACCTCTCATGTTTTTGTCTTTTTCACTTCTTTCTCCATAAAGCTTGAAATCGGGCTACCGCAGTTGATGTCTCTCTTCCATCGTTTACATTCTTGCCAGAGTATTCATGGAATTTTCAAAGTTAAATCTGTTCACTGGTTTCCTGTTAATTGCTGCAGTGGTCATCAATTATTTGAAAACGTTTCATATCTTTATATAAAAGAAACCTTTCTTAGGAGTCCAATATGTACAAAAAAGATAAGCACCGAAATGTTCTAATTATGGTGGAAAGTAGGGATAGGAATTTCCCATTCACTGCACATTTTTACTTCTTTTAGTCTTCCACTGTCCTTAAACTTTTGTTATTTTTGCACTTTTTCACATCCACATCCTCACTACTCTCCCTTTGTCAAATCTCTATGTTGTGGACTCATAGAACTCACAGGACTTTGTATAATTTATACTATTTAAATTATGTGCACATTTCTACTATTTTATGACATTTACACACTGCTATCCTGTAATGTTATTATCTTTCTTTAACTGGATTCTGCACTTAAGAACATCTATTGAATTTAGCTTTTTTATAGTACACAATTATGTATACAACAGATACTTAATATATGAATGATGGATCAGTTACACTTCATGTCTGTTTTTTGCTCTCACCTCACTTAAGTTACCCTGTCTGTTTTCCATGCTCCATACCCTCCCTTCTATGACCTAGTCAATAATTCTTCCCTCCTACTTTGCCTTTCATTCTTGGAGGTTGAGCTTCTAGGAATTACTTCATTCTCACATTGAAGATCTTAGTGCATAGCTTATTAGTTTTCTTTGGCTACTGTGACAGATTACTATTACAAGTTTAGTGACTTAAAATCACAGAAATTTATTATCTTACAGACCTACAGGTTAGAAATCCAACAGGGATCTCAATGGACTAAATTGGAGGTGTCAGAAGAGCTATATTGTCTTACGAAAGGTCTAGGAAAGACTCTCGTTCTCAACCTTGTCTATCTTTTGTAGAGGTCATCTAGATAACTTGCTTCATGTTCACTTTCCTCCTCCTTGAAAGCCAGCATTGGTGGGTGACTGAATTTTTCTCATATCTCAACAACTCTGACCTTCTTCCCTTGTCTACCATGAAGGACTCTTGTGACTGCAGTGTGCTTACCGAGATTATTGAGGGCAGTCTTTCCACCCAAAACTACTTAATGTAAGCATACCTGAAAAACTCCTTTTGTAATTTAGGTATCATATACAGAAATTCCAGGGATTAGGACATGGCTATCATTTTTTTTTTTTTTTTTGAGGGCCCATTATATACCTGCTTGGGATTATTTACCAGAAAGATGTTTATGATAATACTTTGTATTTGCATAATCAGTATACCATTTGCAAGTTTCTTATTTTACTTGCTATAAACAGTATTTAACAATAATATTTCTCATGTAATTTCCCTTTTACTAGTTTTACTAACTTTGTTTTATATTTAGTGTCATATAGGTAATCTTAAATGTACATCTGAGTCTTTAATGTATCAGCCCTTGTTGGTTGACATTTGTTATTGTTCATTTCTAGACAATGTATAGCTCATAGTTTTATTTCAGTAAGTCAAATTAGTGTCTGAATAAACTAAAGTTCAGAGGGATAATCTGACTTATCCAAATGAATGCTTATATTTATTGAAACTACAGCTAGAAATTAGATTTTCTAATTGTGAAACAAAATTATTTCCAGTTTACTCTAGTGGTGACAGTATATTAATTGATCACATGTCTTCTTTTTGTTACAAGGCTCATGAAAGGTATGTTTATAAACACACTGGGAAATAAGTAGTTGCATACCTTCACTATGGTAATTTTAATGTAAATTTTCTAGGGTTGAAAATTTTGCCAGAAATAAATGAAGGTGTTTGACAAGTTACAGAGAAATCCTCAACACGAAAATTATTTGAAAATTGTTTCAGAATAAGTCAATTTTTCTTAGCATCAAATGAACTCGACTATTACTCATTTAGGCATAAAAATATCTGATGTAAGTAAATGAGTAATTCAGAAAATTGAAGATTCACAAGTTTTTTTCTGTTCTAATAATGTGATGATTTTGAAATGAATAATGTTGGGAAAACTTGAGGTCTTAAGGAGAATTTGGAAAAACTGAGTATGATAGGATGGTTTCAATATACTTACTGGAATTGTTAATTAAGAAGCAGGAGTACTTGAGGATACTGTTTGCATATAATCTTTTTGTGTATATATCCTTGACTTATGGGATAAGAGTGTCTAATTGATATGTATAACTTCTGGAAAAGATCTGAATTAGAATCCCAAGACCTGTGGTGTTGGTGACATTCAAGTGCTAGGGACTATCTGTGTTATTTGTGACCCTTCTTTCAATTTTAATCACACAAAAGTCATACTATGAGAATTGTGTGCTTTTTTTAATAGACAAATAAGACTAGTCTTCATTCTGGGAAGAATTCTCTCTGGAGCTCTACTTAACCTTCTGTTTCTCATCAGGATAAGATGAAAACCTATTAGGTCCTACAGTACAACAAATTGAGCATAATGACCTCAGGCTTTGCTGCTAACTCTCTGTTTGCCCATTGGGAAGGACAAAATGTCTTTGGTGTTTAAGAGAAAAAAAAAGTAAATAAATGAAGAAAAACCCTCTTAATTTTGCATACTATGTCACCAAGCCAGAGTGATAGAATATCTACTATCTTCTACACACAGGTTCTTTACCTTTATTGACTTTTCACCTTCAGATTATACAATTCAATTTAATTTGCTACCTACTTCTGCCAGTGCAGAGGAGTTTGTTCTTAGGGAAGTATGCAGTGAGGTTTTTTTGAGTCCCACAAACTCTTGGGGAATTTTGTGTCTAATAAGTAAGAACATTCATTAAATATGTTTAATGAATATCTACAGTTGAGTAGTATACAAAAAGCACAATTTTGTTTCCTTCCTAAGGAAATGATCCAAGGCTGGCACAAAGAAGCTCTCCAGGGTTAATCTGAAGGAAGTTCTGAGAGCCATATAGAAGACTCCATCAACGATGGTATGCTATAAGGATATAACTTTAATAGAATTACCATAATTGAAATGCTATTGTCATTGTCTTAATATGTGTGGAACAAATCAAGACGTTGCAAGCTTCTTTCTTTTTTTTTTTTTTTTTTTCACTTGTGCCTGGGGATGGCGTATAAATCTGCATGGGTCTCTGCAGATCACTTTCAAAAGAAACTTAACATGGAAGGACACATATCAAGAAGAACTTAAGATCAAGAATGCAACTTTTATGAACTTAATAATATCATCATTTATTTGAAACCAAGTTGTTCATTTTCTGTTGCACAGATTTCATTCTGACCTTAATAAGAAAATAGCATATTCCTCTGTGTGTATGCATTTTCTTCTCCGAAGCGGTAATGTAAAAAAAGCATAAATCAAAGCTCTTTTGACAGATGAACAACACAATTTTGTAACAGGGTAGAATTTTTTTTTTTTTTTTTTTAGAGAAAGACCGAATAGCTTGATAAAAGATGAGTTGAACTAGGAGGATTGATGTGAGAGCTAAAGGCAGCATTAGAGATTAGATGCTCATTGGCTTTTTAGCAAGCCTGGTGACTCATTCTACATAAATGAAGTTTGTGATATGTAATGAAAAGCTTTCTATCTTCACTGCAAGCAAATTAGCAGGTATTTTGTGGCAGGAATGTTAATGTTATCTTGCATTTGTTTCTGAGCAGGAACGCATTAACAGAGCAGGTTTAAAAAGAATTTCACTTTTATAACATCAGGTGCTGAAGGTATTAGAACAAGGTCACCTCTGTAAAGTAATGAGGGGAAATTAGGTTATAAACATGCAGTGCCTAAAAATATATTCAGTCTGCTCTGCAGAGTGAATGCAATACAGGATCACCCCAAATTGCTAATTTTCTTTGACTCCAAATTATACTCAGACCCCAAACTGAACCCAAAAAATTAAATAATAAAGCAAGAGAAGGTAAAGGGGGTTAGTGAGGTTCATAATAGGCAATCAATCCAAATTAATATCTGTACAAATATCTGTACAACCTACTTCATAATTTTAAAATCAGAACATTTGAAATGTTTTATGCAATAGACTTCAGAAGTCCACATTATATGTTTGGGAGAAATACTAAGGTGGAGAAAAACAAAAGGTAGAGAAATCACTCTCAAGCTTTTGCTAAGGTAGAAAGCAAAAGGTAAAACACTATTTATTTAGGATTATATTAAAATATAAGAGAAAGTTGGTTGCTGGGAGGAAATACCACCAAGATTAAGAGAGATGAACTAGAAGATAAAATAATGAAGTACTTGAAAAGCGGGGTAATAAGAATATGAATGATTCTATTCATTTTTATTACATATAAAGAGACAAGATAATGTGTAATGTGTATGCAGAAGGCTTACCAGATCTAGGGAATTAGTTCTTCAGCAGGGTATCATCTGTGATGGGCCATTAGGTGCCAATGATCTGATTATATAGATTTGGGGGTCATACTTGCAGGTTCCCTGGACTAGAAACAGACACAGTGATGTGGTCCCTCATCTTGCCCTTAATAACATCAACCCACTTGCTTAACCTCCTATTTCCTGGGCCATGGTTTCTGCCTATTATTCATTTCTGCATCTCAATTAAAAATTATTGTGATCTACTTCATCCTACCCAGATATAGTAGGGAACAGGGAGATTAAATATAAGAAAACAACCTTGAACTCCATCTACAAGAATCCTTCAAAGTAATATAACAATTTAATTACTTGATGAAACAATTAACTATAAGCAGAAAGGTAAAAGAAAGAGTGTTTGGAAAGCAGTAAATAAAATTTTTGTTGAATTAAAAATCTGTTTGGTAAGAACTGAATTGTAAATGAAAATTCATTGCTTGCTATGATAGCCACTTGTTAAAATTCCATGGACCAAAAAATGGAAGTATATCAAATTAAAGAGTTTCAGCATAACAAAAGAAACAATCTTAAAACAAAAGGACCCTGACCAAATGGGAGAAAATATTTGCACAGAATCCATACAAGGAGCTAATATACATTATCTACAATGAACTCATACAGTTCAACAAAAGAAAACAAATAACTCAATCAAAAAAAAAATGGCAGAATCACTAAGTAGGTCCCTCTCCAGAGAAATAATACAGATGACATACAAAAAAATGCCCATAACCATTTATCATCTGGGAAATGTAAATCAAAACTGCAATGATATACCCCCTTAAACCTGTGAAGAATGGCCCATATCTCAAGGACTAAATATAGCAAGTTCACCATGGTATGGGGAAAACAGAACTGTTATTCACTGTTGGTGAGAATATAGACTCGTGTAATCCTTTGGAAAACAGTGTGGGAGTTTTTCAAAATAGATCTACCATATGATCCAGCAATTCCACTCCTAGGTAGCTCCCTGAAGAATACAAAAGCAGTAATTCAAATGGATATATGTACTCCTGTGGTCATCACAGCACTATTTACAGTACCCAAGTTATGGAAACAATATAGGTGCCTAATGACAGAGTAGTGGATTAAGAGGAGGCATATATAGACACAATAGGATACTACTCAGCTATTAAAAAATAAGGGGGGTGGGATCCCTGGTGGCACAAGGGGTTAAGTCTCGCACTATCAAGTTATTGCCAGCCACTGCACCAAGAGTTTGATCCTCAGCCAGGAAGATAACCCACATGACCTCTCCTTTTTTGCCCGCAGCTCCCCTTGGCAGTGTATTTCAGTTAATCTGCCTGTTCTGCTCCCCACTCTGTCTCTGGTGAATCCTCTCACCAACTGCTCCTCTGGCCTACACACCAGTTCTTGTATGTATAAATAAAAATAAATCTTTTTAAAAAAAGATGAACTTTGTCACTCACAATAACATGGATGGAACTGGAGGGGGTTATGCTAAATGAAATTGGTAAGAAAGAGAAAGACAAATAATGGATGATTTCACTCAGATGTGGAATATAGAGGGAAAAAAATGAAACAAAGGAACGGACAAAGCTAAACCAAAACAAACCCTAGAAATCTGACTGTAGAATTGAGGATGCCAGGGAGGATGGGTGGATGGGTCCTACATTAGAGGATTATGTGTACTTTGGAGGTGGGAGTGGTGTGGTAACATACATGTGAAGAGGTGTGATTTTATACCTCTACACCATATATAGTGCTGTAAACCAATGTTGCCTCAATAAAAAAGTAATGCAATTTAAAAGAAATCCAGTGTCAATGACTGGCTCATATTGGTTGCATCAAATCTGAAACATTGTGTCTGGAATTTAGGAGATAATATTTGTTGGTCTGATGAAGCATTGAATCATTTCAGCTCAACGTTTTATTTTACAAGTGAAAAAAATGAGACTTGGAAATATAAAATGGCTTACCAAAATTCACAGGTTAATTACCAGCAGAATCATAAAGAACTTGAAGCGAGGTATTCAGAGTTTTGTTTCAATACAATCAAAACAAAACAAAAAAATATTTCTTTTATTGACTAGTGCAGTATGCTTCTCAAACCCAACTGATTTTTGGTATCACTAATGGTCTAAGCTTAAATTCAGAAACTCAGGGGTAAAGAGCACCCTGCATATTTTTATAATTTACTTCTAGCGATGTGATGCAGAATCAGAGCTGAGAAACAATGGGCCATCTGGAGATTCCATTAGAGAATGTTGTGATTCCTTTGGCATGAGTCTAGATACTGTTCTATCCAAGGTGATTTTGAGGCGCAAAAACATATCAGGTTCCTTTTAATGAGAGGAAACATCTATCAGATTTCTGTTAATGATTATCATAGAAAATGTCACATGTGTGTTTCCAATGTTTATGACCTGTGTTCAGTTAACAGAAGGACATGTATCAAGGAAAGAGCCAGTGTTAAGGTACTGTAGACCTCATTTTTTTGAGCAATCTTTGAAATGAGAAATCTGGCAAAATGAAACTAAGAAAATAAATCAAACCTTGTCTAAAGGTTATAGAGTAACTTGGGAACTATTTGAGTTCTTGTGATTACAAGATCAGAAGATTAAAAAATAACCCTGAGGGTGTTTTTTAGGAACCATTCCTTCTGAAGATAAATGGGAGATTTATGATTGAGTTGAAATCAATTTTGATTGGAAATAATGCCAACCTAGGAAGAACATTATAGTAAACTAGAAATGGTGGGAGGAACATTGTCAGAAAGAATATGTTCTTTATTCATATTCTGAAGGCTGACCATCCACCACTGAAAGAATAGAACCATCTAATAAATTGATATAATAATTGTGGAAAGCCTAGCAACCAAGCAAGTGCCTACTATAATCAAGACTATGTAAGGATTGAGATTAGACTGCACAGAAGATTAAGGTATTTCTGGAATTCAAGTTTAAATATGACAAATGTTTGAAAAGTTAAATAGAAAAATGAGATAATTCATCATCTAATGCTATAATAGTGGTCAATTATGGAGCACTTATGTAGTCCAATGACTGTTTAGAAAATGCTTGAGGGGTTCAGAGGCAAAGAGGACAAGATTTCCAAATGACCATCTTCTAGATAATATGTAAAAACTTTAACATGGAGACTGTATGTCCTTATTTATCTTTCCCTGTTCTATTCTTCCCACTTAACGTAGCTATTAATGGTAGGTGTGGGGGTCGAAAGGGCTCTTAAATGTTGAAAGTGGCCTTTCTGGCTTAGTCTTCCCTTAGCTTTACACAATAGAAAAAATGCACACTGTTGCATCTCTGTATAGTATATTTTTCACTATAATTACTTTGGCTGCTCTTATTCAATTAAAAGCACCCTCTAAAAATGAGGATAGGTTATTGTGAAAAAATATGAGTCTAATCATAAATGAAATGTAGTTATGACTGAAAAATTTCTGAATTTTACTTTTTTAATAGTTGGTTTTTATTAAGGTAACATTGGTTTACAATACTGTATACAATTCAGAAATATAGGATGATACCTCTTCAGATGTTTCCATACCACACTTACCACCACAACCCCCATAGGTATCCCCCAGAGTCCATTGTGATCCCCTTC